AGGGTGCTGATGTTCTTCTAGTCCTCCTCCTGTGAGGAAAGACCATAATCGGAGGTTTAAACTCAGCAACCTAAACTAGAGCTTCATCATAGCACGGGCTGTTGAGACTTCAGTGCAAAAGGTTTGAAAAAGATTATTCTAATCTAATCCAATCTGATCATTTGATCTAATCTAATCTAATCTAATCTAATCCTGTTTTCCCAGAGCAGGAAGAGGAAATATCACTTTCTACTGACATCTGACACCTAATCCTTGCCCAAGAATCCCGGGAAAAGGACGTTGTGTAAGGTGAGGGGTTTTGAAATCATGCATCAGTTCTTTCAAATCAATGCTCTATACAATCAATTATATCAATTATCTATACAATGCTGGAAGTATGTGGAAAATATTATTGTTTGTGTGGCTTCATGCTTTTTAATTTCCAAATAGTTCAGAGATCAGGTACTAAGCGTGGGTTTGTAAAGATAAACAGAGGTTTAGGTGTCGTGTTACTGATAAGACTCGGCCTGAGGAAGTGCAGTCACTCAGCGGCTCACAGATTGAGACCAAACTGATGAGTAACTGGAGGATAGTGTTGCACTCTGGGACGTGTGAAACACCGTTGCCATTAGCCGACAGATGCTTTTACCTGTTAGGGACACAAGAGCAGGAAAAGGTATATCCTAGGTCAAGACTTTGAGTTGGTTATTCTGAATTAAACCTGTTAACATTTTTAGAAAGTCAATCAATTAAATGTACTAAATTGCAGTCAAATGTTTGGACACACCTACTCATTCTTTCTATGACTATTTTCTATATTTTAGAATAAAAAGTATTAATTTATTTATTTCAATGGAAAATTGGCCAAAATTGTGTGTGTGTGTATATATAGTTTTATATATTTTAATGCTTATTAAACACTTTGAATGACTTCTGTAAATATGGTTTTCTTTTTTTTCTTTTGTTTGCTATTTTAATCATGTAAAAACTTATTTAAAACAACTCATTAAATATGTTTTTAATTGTTAGAAATGTAAATGTATACAGAATTAGCTGCTGGCTGGCTGCTCTACTTTATTATATATTGTATATAAGACAAATAAAAAAATATGAATATAATTATGTTGTTGTAAAATGAATATAACATATTTTATATAAACAATATTATTATATTCCTGTAATGTAATATTTTATATGAACAAATACTATTCTTAATAAAATAATTTCAAAAAAATTGTAATAATGAAATTCATACAATCTGAGTCATATAAGCATATACCATTAGATATAATACAATAAATCCATTCAAGTGTGTCCAACCTTTTGGTACTGTATATCAGTGGTCAAGAAAATACACTAAGATAGATGTAAATTAGCAGTTACACTGGACTAAACTTATTCAGTTGCATAAATAGCCTCCCTGAATTCAATCAATTTGATGTAGATGATAAAGTATCGATAACACTTTAATATAACTAAACTTCATGAAGAATCAAATCTGTGTAAGCTTTCATGACCTCATTGGAAAGACCTGACTTGCATTTGATGCATGAACATGATACCATTACTGCCCAGTCAGCTCTATCAAAACAGACCCATAACTTACAGTAGTGATGGTTCAGTCATCCTACGGTCTGTTCATCACTGTCAAACCCATAATACAGTAAATGTTGTGTCTGGATCCTGGGCATCGTGTCCAGCCTCGTAACCCAGCTTTATCACCACACGAATGCGCGATATGAAAACCGACCCCGTCTGACCTGGAGAACATGATAGTTCAGACACTTATTCTGTCTTCATTTAACCTGACGTTCAACATCTGCTTGTACCAGTCAGCAGGAATTAGGAGCCTAATATCTCATATCGCTGCGAGATCTCTGGAGGTAGTTAAATATTTAAGGCCACAGCAACACACGGCTGGGAACATCGGGATCCTCGCAGCTCTGTAAAAAAACATGAAGCATACATTCGATATCTGAGGATAATGCTCATCTACTGGCATGACTCTGGTATGGTTTCATCAGACTCCTTACTGGGCCCATAAAAGAGGTAATGTATGGGCTGATAATGGCATGAGATCCAGAGAACGGCCCAGCAGCCTCCATATGGATGCGTTTATATGGAGCCAGACCCGTATAAGCTCTCTGAGCTGTCAGCACTTGACATGCAAAATGATTTAGGGAGGTTTCAGCCACTGCGTTGGGAATATTGGTGTGTGATGGGACTGATATATGGCTACTGGTAAATAGTGCGTGCATCAGTGACTGGATGAAAAAATGGCTGTGGAATATAAAAAGCAGTGTAATGCAGTTTCAGGGTATTTTCACACCCTCATGCTGAGCTCTTCAGCATTCTGCTGTGGAAAATTCTGTTTATTTTGTTTGATTGATAGTGATGAGACTTTTCTAGTTTTTTTTTTTTTGTTAGAGAAATTGTTCACTTTGGCATTTCTTTAAATAATCATTTGCCATATTTTGTGATGGGAACATGATGTATTTAGTGATGCATGATAGCCAAGACCTGTTAATTTTCAGTGACACTTTATAATAAGGTCTTATTTGTTAACATTAGTTAATGCATTAAAGCAATAGTTTGCTGACACATTACTCAGACCAAGATGTAGATGAGTTTGTTTCTTCATGGGAACAGATCCAGTCCTTCAGTTAACGTCTTGTGAAGCAAAAAATCAGTGTGTTTGTGAGAATAAATAGACTTACAGTTTTCAACTTGTGCATGATAAAATATGCAGAAAAATGTCTTAAAGGGGTCATGACGTGAAAAACCAAATTTCCATGTGATGACATGTCTTAGTGCAGACGTAATTTATCTGTGGCTTGTGTCAGAATACACTGTGACAGTTTATGCTGCACAAAAATATCTAAAGTGGTGAGTTTAATTAAGACCTCAACCCCCAAACCTTTCCCTTAATGCCATGCATCAGTCTGAGAGTGTTGTGTCCTCTGCAGGCCTGTGTAAGCCTCAGATGATCCGTTGCTGAGGGGACTAAGTGATACCCTTTCAAAAGAGGCCAGACATGCCTCTACCACACCACACCCTTTGTGTTCAGGAACAATCCAGCCTGCACTTCAAGGCTGGGCCGGACTTCAGAGGAATCCGCTATCAATCTAAAGAAGAGAAGAAAGAGCTTTAAATGAGAGAGTGACCCCAAACTCCCTCAGTGAATTACTGTGATAAGGTGCTCGTCCTCATAACACTCATTATTATATATTTGGTGAAGATCCTCCTGTGGTCGACATCAAAGGGCTCGCTGAATTTCAGGAGGAACAAAAATCTGCCGATAAACAGATTTTGGAAGTGAACATGGTTGAAATTTTAAGGGTGTTTTTACATTTCAGTCCTGTTTTAAGGAACCAAATGTGAATTAAGTGACAAAAATGCCCAGTTCGGTTTGCATTCACATTGTTCTACTTTAGTGTACATATAAAAACCTAAAAAAAACGCCACTATTATTTGATCAAAATACAATAAAAACAGTAATATTGTTAAATGTTATTACAGTTAAAATTGCTGTTACGGTTAAAATATTCTATTTGAATATATTGTAAAATGCAATTTATTCCTGTGATGAAAAGCTGAATTTTCAGCATCATTACTCTTCAGTGTCACATGATCTTTCAGAAACCATTCTAATATTCTTATTTACTGCTCACAAAATATTTCTTATTATTATCAATCTTGAAAACAGTTGTGCTGCTACTCAATAGTTTTTTTTTCAGGATTCTTTGATGAACAAAGTTCAAAGGATGTTTATTTAAAATATAAATCTTTTGTAGCATTATAAATGTCTTTACTGTCACTTTTGATCAAATGAATGTGTCCTTGCTGATTAAAAATATTACTTAAAAATCCTAATTACCCCAAATTTTAGAACAAAAGTTTATATATACTACTTTTATAGCATAATTTAAAAAAAATGGTTATAATGTTAATAATGTTCTTTTTCTTATTATTTGGAAAATTTGTTTTTTTTATAATTTATTTTGTTACTTGGGGTTAAAAATTTAAATGAAAAAGAAAAAAAGTCTATGCATTTCATCTCATCTCTGCATTGTTGTGTGTCATGCATGGCTATCTGCAGTGGCCTAGTACTTTGAGTTCACAGAGCATCTTGTGAACTGCACAGTGTTTTACAATCATATACTGTGGAACAGTGAAACATTAAGAAACATGTGAATGCAAATGAACAATTAAATGCAAACTATGGGTTAAATACACCAATTTGTGTGTGCCCATCTCTGTGTAACTGTTGCGTGTGTTGTAATGGTTGTTAGGTACACAAAACAACATCATTTCCTACAATTCTGACCAGGATATTGTCATGTGACCACATTCCATTCCCATGACATCACATCGGGCGAGTGAGTGAGCCGTGAGCGAGAGATGGGTGATGTTGACAGCTCATCCCATGAACGTTTCGCATGCCCTCACTTCAAATGGGCCACGCTCAGCTTTGATGCGCGGCCTGTTTTTAGCAGCCCAGAAAGAAGCGTCATGCACCGGATGACACTCGGATCACAGACCGCAGTGAAAGACAGCAGACTGATGCTTCAGATAGTATTGAGTGTGAAGGTTTACCGTCCTCGAGGAAGATCAGACATAGAGAGGGATGATGTATGATGAGGAAGAGTAAGAGACGACTATAGCATTCTCAGCTGTTGTCTTAGAGAACCAACCGGTGTTTGATTACCAACACGACTAAAGAGATCATCTGGATTTGCAGCTCCTCATAAAGGGACTTATAATAGTTTACTGGCGTTTTTCAAAGAACCACTTGTTTCTAATAAACTAAGATAAGGTTACACTTTCTTTTCCAAACTGTCGCGGATCTCTACTGATAAAAATATGATGAGTAGAATAACTGAATGATCATTGTTTGTTTTGTTGGATTGCTTTCACATCAACTATTGCTGTATTCCAAATCGTATAGTATTTACAGTGGGGAAAAAAAGTATTTAGTCAGCCACCAATTGTGCAAGTTCTCCCACTTAATACAGTACTTATTTGAATGAACATTTATTTTAAAATGTTAAAAAATATATTTAACAAACATTTAACAATTCAGTTTGATTTTTAGTTTGTTTTAATCATTGTGTGTGCTTTTGTAATTTTTTATTATTGTTTTTTTTTTTAGCTTTAATATTTATGTTTCAGTTTTGGTTTTAATTTATATTTTGGTCATTTTGTTATGTGCTTTCTCATTTTTATTACTTTTTTATAATTGTTTTAGCTTTTACATTCATATTTTAGTTTTAGTTTTTTAGTACTTTTTAGTTATGTGCTTTTGTCATTTTATCACTTTAGTTTTATTATTTTTAATTATCTTGAATTTTTTACACTCTAAAAAATGCTGGGTTAAATACAAAAAAATAGGGACAAACCCAGCAATTGGGTTGTTTTGACCCAGCGGTTGGGTTAAATGTTTAACCCAACCGCTGGGTCAAAACAACCCAGTTGCTGGGTTTGTCCCTATTTTACCCAGCACTGGGTTATATTTAACCCAGCATTTTTTAGAGTGTAATTTAAGTTTTAGCAATTTTAGTACTTCAGTTTGTTTTGAACTTATTTTGTTTTAAGCTTATTTATTGCAATGGAACTAATTATATTTCTATTTGTATTTTTCAGTGTAATTTTTAATGTGATATTTATTTCAATTAATGAAAACTATGTATAATAGTTTTAGTTTTAGTTAACAATGCAATCATAAGGATACAATATTATTATATTGTGTATACATTGCATATTAGGTAAAATAGCATTTTTAATGAGATTATATATTTTTGGTACTGAGTGAAACATTTCTCATGTGTACATTTTAGGATTTCTCTTGGAAGGCAGCCAAATTATGCTGCCTACCTTTTGACAGCAGGACTGCAATATTCCTACATTCAGTTCACTATGTTTTAACAAGTCCAATTTCTCTGTACATGTGTGAGTGTGTTTGTGTCATTGAGGCCCAGCTGTGCTCTCGTTCCTTTGAGGCTGACATGGGAGAGATCTTTTAAGGTCTTGTAGTTGTTTTAACCCCTGCTGCCTCTCAGCAGGTTAAGCCTAACCAAACATTCATCCTGCGGGTCAGCGACACCATTGACAACGTGCTTTAGTCTTTCACTCGGCTCATCCCCACTGTGAGCTACCTGACAGGTCCGGCCACGGTCAGAAATCAGCTCATCAAACTTCAGCTCCAACCACAGACTGCAGCTCATTAGTTTGATTAGACCATTAAGACTGACAGTGGATCTGTCCAAAGTCAAGGCAAGCCCAACAAAATGATTATGGATAGATAGAAAGATCTGCTCGGATCACTTCTCATTTCAATATATCTGTAAGATATTTATAATGTTTCACATTCTTTAATCACTTTTTGGATATCGGCTGAATAATTTAAAATGTAAATAAAAATAACAAATAAAAATCAAAGTAGACTGATTGGAAGAATTATCAGTTTATTTAGATAAAATGAATCCACGTTAGTTTTATTATTAATGGTTATCATTAATGAATGCACAAGTATAACGTTTGGTGAAAAGTTTTGGTGCATTCAAAATAAAATAATTATTATAGTTTTTATTAGTAGTTTTTGATTAATTAATAATTTGAATTTTTAAACTTAAAGATGTAGTATTTTTGTTGTGATTTTCTTATTTTCAGGGTTTTTTTATGTCTATACTTTCTATTTATTTTATTTTATTTCAGTTTTTGTTATTTCAGTAAAAGTTAGGCTAAATAAAAATGAGAAATGTTTCCGTGGCAGTACGTTAACATTTCATTTTTTTTCAAGTAACAAAATGTTTTTTAGATTTAGTTAACTATAATAACTGTATAGCCTGAATGCACTGTAAGTCGCTTTGGATAAAAGCGTCTGCTAAATGCATATATTATTATTATTATTATATTATAGTAACCCTTGATAGTAATATGTTACTCTAATGTTACAGCATAGTGCATAGGTTCAATTTCCAAGAAAAATAACTTCAGATAATCTGCTTTGGATAAAAGTATCTGCATTTGAGTCATGTGAAATCAACCTGAACAGTAAAATTACCAAGATATGGAATAACCAAACATCAGCATCAAATCTCAGTTTTTATTTATTTTTTCAAACAGTCTTTCATAGCCAATATGGACTCTTTAGAATTGAACATCAACTGATTAAAAGTTGCATGTTGGGAGATCTAACAGCGCTGTATTCTTAAGCGGTGTCTCTGCCCCTCCTTCACTAAATGGAGTAATTATTAGCCGTCATTACCCTGCCCTCTGCCCTGATGCAACTCAAAGAGAAGCGTCACTATCTGATCACTATGTAAATGCGGTTAGCTGCCTGCAGTAATGGATCAATGGAGCGCTGGACGGCCTGTGTGGGGGAGGCCAGAGACTGCCTGTCTGTCTGTTCCCAGCAGGTCCACTGTCCCGCACGTCTCCGAGGGCGGTGGGCCAGAGCACGTCTACCAGCTCGGAGACTCGGGAGGAAAACACTGGAGGGGTTCAGGCCTGGGCTTGTTTGGAGGGCTTGGATTGCCGGGGCCTCTAGCCCCAAATTTGAATGTAAAATGAATGCAAATCTACAATGATTCAGGCAATTCAGTGGAATCCACACTCTTTAAGACGAGGGTCTACAACCCATATGATTGCATTTCTTTCTAATGTGCTGCTTCTGTAACTAGTGGTTTAACTGAAGCTAAAATCCATGTTAATGGCATTTCAAGCAAAGCTGAGTTGGAGTTTGTCCATATAGAACAGAAACAGCTTTATATGAATAATAATAATATATAGTTTTAACTTTATTAAAGTTTAAAAATATAAAAAATGTTTTTAGTGACATTGTGCAGGATCTTACATATATCTCTTATACGTTGTATATAGTGTATAAATAATACAATATGATATTATGATATATTTTAATAAAATATAACAATCCATTTTTAGTTTTTCATTACCATCTATTAAAATTAAAATTAAGGATTACAATTAAAAAAAATAATTTCTATAATATTTATAAAGTCTATTTAAAAATATTTTTAAATGATTCTTTTCTATTTTTTTCATGTAAATTGTATTTCAAGCAAAGCTTGAGTTGGAGTTTGTCCATATAGAAGAGGAATAGATTTGTATGACTAATTTTGAATAATTTTG